CAAATTCTAATGTTACCCATTTCAAAATTCATCTTGTTTTATGAGCATATTCTTCGTGAAGAGGAGCTGCCAGCCTGTCACGTCACCTATATATATTAATAAAGTGTATCTTTGTGGAAAATGTGAGTTAATGAAGTATTTTTATTTATTTTTTAATAGATTTTCAAAATTTTGGAATAAGAAAAGGGTATAGGTCAGGAAAGTGAAGAGAAAGAGAGAGAGCAATGAAAGGTGTGGATGTGAATGTATGTGCGTGTATTGAGTATGTTTATCCCTTTTAAATGTAGAGAAAGAGAAAGAAAAGGTGTGGATTTGAATGTATGTGCGTGTGTTTGTTTAGTATGATTATTTCTTTTAATTGTTCTTTAGGTAAATAAGAAAATGAGAGTGAGAATCTTCTGGTTTCTTAAAAGGATGGGTTTATAGCTCTCTCTTCTATCTGTAAGAGAGACCAAGATTTGATTCTGTTTTAACGAATGTCAAAAATTGGTAAATGAAATCAAGAAAGGTCAAAACCAATGTGATTAATGAAATGGAATTTATTATTGATGATATTTCTTTTGCAAGCTTCAAGAAAATAGAGCTGCCATTTATTTTTACAATGGTCGATGCATGCACATGCCTCTATGAAGCATAAACCACAGATTCTATTGTTCCATCATTTTAAATTTTCACACTTAAATTAAAACGAAAAAATTTAATTATTTGGTTAAAATTTAGGCCGAACGACTTGCGCTGTTGCGCATGTCCCAGATTTGCTGTAACGGTAAAGTGATACCTAAAAGATTTAAAAATAATAAACAGGTACCTTTCGTCATGTGCTATTAGTAATTTCTATTTGTTAATAGTGAAAAGACTAAAATGCCCTTAAAAGTTTGATATTTTAGTTTTTTATAAATTTAAAAATTTCTAAAAAACCTCATAGGTATGCTAATTTAACTAAACACCCCCATATATAAAAAGTTTGTTAAATGATAAAAATACCCCCATCACCCCGCAGTGCCAGATTCCGGCCATCACCACCAGAAACTGGCCGAAAAATTGCGTTACGACACAGACCCGTCGGATCTGTGTCGTAACGTGTCGATCTGGCCGTCGAGGCAGCAGGCCGCAAAACTCCATCTGCGGCGTCGACGACCAAATCTGGCTGTAGATCTGGCCTTTTCCAGCCAGATCAGCCACGGATCTGGCCGAAAAATACCAAATCGACGCGTCTGTGTCGTAACGCAATTTTCGGCCAGATTCCAACGATGGTTGCTGGAATCTAGCACTACATGTGGTGGGGGGTGTTTTTATCATTTAACAAACTTTTTATATATAGGGGTGTTTAGTTAAATCAGCAAACTTAAGGGGTTTTTTAGAAATTTTTAAATTTATAAAAAACTAAAATATCAAACTTTCAAAGGCATTTTAGTCTTTTCACTGTTAACAAATAGAAATCGCTAATAACATATGATGGAAGGTACCTATTTATCATTTCTAAATTTTTTAGATACCACTTTGTTGTTACAGCAAACCTTGGGCTGTTTTAGCCTAAAATATAAGGGGAGGGCAGGGAGGGTAATGTGTAGAGAAGAGGATAGTGAGAAAGTTAGAAAATTAAAAATTAGAAAAAGGGACATACACACTTGCACTGCATTTAATTCCTTGGAATTCTTTCTCTATCTTTAATTAAAATTTAAAACACTATTTCACTCCTCACGTCTTCAAATACACCACCTCTAAACGCCGGCCCCCAACATTTATGCTTCTTCTCCTACAATTACAAACACCCTTTTTTATCTCCCTCTTTTTAACGCCTTCCTCACTGTCACCTCCAATTCTACTGCCATTCCCCTTTCTCCATTCACACTATCAACTCAATTTTAAACACCCCACTAACTAATTTTAATTTATAAAGCATGCATTGTTTGACGCTCTCTATTTTTATTTCTCACCTTACTGGTTTATTTCAGACTAGTGGTTCATCATAAGTTTGCCTTACTTTTTTGTTTATTCTATAAAATGTGAGCAGTTCCCACCATTGCAACATGTGAGAGATTTATGGGAGATTTGAGCTTTGAATTTGAATTATAAGGTATATTTCACGTTTTGATTGAAGGTTTTTGGCTTTGTGTAAATAGTTGGAGGTGTATTTGTAATTTTTACAAGGTTTATTTATCATTTTTGAAACTAATAGGGGTGTCTTGTTATTATCCCGAGTATCCGTGAACCGGTTGATTCCTGTTCCATTCCTAATTCCGATTTTGGTTTCATGGAAACTCGGACCCTCCCACGCCAGTTATTAGGACCTTGCCAGCAAATGCTAAAAGGTCAGACATAAAGGAAAGAAAATAAACTTATTCAAAGTTTAGCAGAAGGCATTGTCAAGGAAGCGCATAACATTAAAATCAGAAAATGAAGATAACCCGAAGTTAAGTAATTAGTAATAGAATGGGAATTGTAAATGGGCCGTAAATTATTAAATATTATTGAGAGTTGGGACATCAGAGACCGACTAAACTTCCATTTTTTTTTTTTTTGCAAGGAAGCGGGCTTACGTCTCCGAAAGTAAAGGCCCATATGGTCCAAACAACAGGCCCAAAGCAACTCCCCAATATAAAAAAATCCATAATTTTTCATCCTCTTTATTTTCCCATTTCTCTTATTGTCTCTCAAAACAATCTGATTTGAGAAAAAGAATCGAATCATTTGATGAGGAATATTTTGAGGAGGTAAGTGATTGCTCAACGTTCGGTATATTCATTTATGTTTTGATTTCTAGCCCTTTGATAGGCGTGACTGATAGCTAATAGTTAGTTGAAAATCATAAAAATAAAATCTTGAAGAAGAGTTTGAAACCAATTTTTCTATTTCAATGCATGATATAATTGTTACTTTTAACGTGAAAATCTAACATAAATTGTGTTTATGTCAATCATCATGTATTAATAAAATTAGTTTATTCAGTTTTAGCTTTTAACTTTTTGGAATTTTTATTGTTATAACTTAAAATTATTGATATCCCGATTGTTTTTAGTTACAAATCTTCCTACAAAATGATATTATTGTTCAAAGTTAATTAGGAAATGGATAAGTCTTTCTATTTGTAAAATTATGTCAATCATTATTCTGCCTATGACAATTATTTTTTCTTAAAAGTAATTTAATTATCAAAGCCACTTGACATGATGCAAAAGATAAGAGAATATATTTCCTATATGGTTATAAATGGTATTGCCACAAGAAAAATATATTTGTTTAATAATAAGAGGAGACAATACAACTATACTTCAAGAAAGATTCTAGTAAGATTAGAGCAAAACTCAAACAAGATTCAAATGGTAAGGAAAACAGGACAAACTTTTTTATTCAAAAATCAAATATATACATACAAGAGTACAATACAAGGTTTGATGCAAGAATCAACTTTCCTAAACTAAATTCAAAATAAAGATAACAGATAACACAATTAATGGGAGAGAGCTTGTTGACAACTTCACTACTACAAATAGCTCAAATGGGCAAATCTTGCTTCTTCAAAGTGAGACGTTCATAGTATTTGTTAAATCTGTCACAACCCATAGAAATGGTATTGTATATTCTGTGTTTGAGCAATTCATAAATATGTTTAAGTAAGTATCTAGCTAGCGCAATAGGCAAAATGGTTCATAAGCATAAAATAAGTCATGTAATTAAACACGGGAACAAAACCGATACTAGTGCAACTGAAGCAAGAACACCTGAACTGAGAATAACATGGCTAATGATTTTAGAGTAAGTTGTAAAATTATTTTGTAATTCCAAATTAGTAGCAAGTCCGACACAATAAATACAAGTTGCTACTAAAAATACCCACATATTGATAGGGTGTGTATCAAATGGAGATACATTTTTGCTCTAATATTCCACTTGGAGCAGCCCAAGCATCACTGGTATTAACAACAAGAATATCATATGATACCCGTATGAGGAAACTGATGGTTGCTCACCTGGAAAACTGTCAAATTAAAACAGACTGGTTAAGCTTTTTAAATTTTAAATAAAATATAATGCCAGTGAGGGCACTAATTAATTAAAGAAAGGAAGTTGAGATTTCCAACTTCCGAGAACTAGGGGTGTGCAAATCCGGATATCCAATCTGAATATGACATTTCCTGATCCGATCCGAATTTTCGGATCAGATTATACCCTGATCCGAATCCGATCCGAATTATGCAGATATCCGGATTTACGGATATCTGATTATTCGGATCAGATAACCGGATATCCGAATGTGATCCGAATTTTACAATTTTCTTTTTAAAATCAAATAATTCTAGAAATAAAATTGAAATTATAATTCCCTTACAATTACATGATAAAAGTATCTAAAAAAATTAACATGAAGCACAAAACATTTGACTTATGTTGTCCAAACACTGTCACAACCTAAATGACTATACTATCTTCAATTCTTCATTGCCAAATCCTACTCGCCTCACACATGGTTTCTTGTTACCAGCTTGACGATTGTATCTGAATTGACCAACTGCCTAAATTGCTATGCTTATCTTCATATCAGATGGCTTTGTCTCCCTTAACTACTCGTCATCATCCTCCTGTACAAAACAAAACAAAACAAATAAACCATTTCAATAAACAACTTTTAAGATTAACAACAAAATCAATATACTGAAAATGAAAATATGCTCAATAAACCGATTAAAGCAACATGCATTTGGAATGCTCCCTAACTTTGATTTCCAATCATATACTAAACAAAAATCTTTGACAGGCCGTGCAAGACATGATCACTGATCAGCAAAAACATGGCATAGAGTCTCTAACAATCAATTTGATTTCAATTTTTACATGCCCAATTCCCATTCAAAAGCTTAACCTAGACTCGGCTGGATGTTTTATTTTCTGGGTATGGTTTTACTTTTACATTAAACATGAATAAATTAAATGAAGAAATATAGAGAGCAATAATCATATACCCTTCAATTGTACTGCAACAGACTTATTGAAANGCAACTTTCTGTGAACCAGTTGAGAAGTCAAATTCAAGTCACTCCTTCACCGCAGGACTAGCTCACAGTGTTGGTGTTAGGTGCATACCTTTTTTCTTTAGTCTCCTTTCAAGATTTCCTGTGAAATTTATTTAATTGTGATGGCATTGATCACCATTTCCTTTTTCATTCTTTTACTAATATGTAAATTTATTGACTGCAGGAAGCAACCACTACGTGTATACAGCATGGTGAAGTATGCAGCCATAGGTCGCGGGGATGCTGAAATATTTATGAAGTTTGCAAGGTCTGGATACAAGGAGAAGATATGGGATCATGCAGCCGGCGCTGTTATCATCGAAGAAGCTGGAGGTGTGGTGACTGATGCAGGAGGACGTCCACTGGACTTCTCAAGGGGCATATACGTAGAAGGACTCGATAGAGGCATAATTGCTTGTGCTGGAGCCAAACTTCATGAAAAAATCATCAGGGCTGTTGATGCTAGTTGGGACTCCTCTAGTCTATAAACTTATGCTTTATAAAATCAACAATAACAAACCACATTTCCATTATAATGAATTTTGTTTTGGTGTATGTGTATAGGCTTGTAGAAATCAGCCTTATTTATATTCTATTTGTGTAGCAGCAGCTCTTTTGTAAAGTCTCTTAGAATAATGAACTGCTTAAATGATAGGGATAAATCCCTTTTTTTTTTTTTTTTTTAAATAAATTACTGATAATAACGTATAAAGAGCGGCTAGGGGATAATTGAGGTTGACGTCTCCAAAGGGCAAGGCCCAATTCTTGTATGGTCAAACAACAAGCCCAAAGCATTTCCCCAATATAAAAAATTAGGGGGGAGCACGAATACCGGGCATAACTGAAACCTGCAGATAGAATCAGAACCGATACTATACTAGTACGTTTTGGTTCCTACAGGTTCTAGAACCAGAACTAGAACCTGGGAAAGGAACCTGAAGTGGGTACCCTACTTGGAACCTACTTGTGTTTTGGTTTTGATTGAGAAAATTTATGTGAATTGTGATCAATTGATTGAATTCAAGTATTGCCTAAAGATTAGAAGATTTATAATTCACATTAGACACAAATGAATGAGTAATCAAAAGTTGAAAACTACTAAATGTAGGTTTTCTATATTTGTTAAGGCTGTATTTGTAAACTTTTAAGGTATTTTTTTTCATTTTTTAAACTAATATGGGGTAATTGATTTTTTACAGGGTACTCGGGTAAGAAATCGGAACCTACATTTCAGGTTTCGATTTTTCCTTTTTTTGAGAACCTGCACTGTGTTTGTTTTCTAGTTTCTAATGCAGGATACCCGAAACCGCTCACCCCCATAAAAAATCCATAATTTTTCATCCTCTTTGTTCGTTTTCTATTTTCTCATATCTCTTACTGTCTCTCGAAATAATCTGATTTAAGAAAAGGAATTGAATCATTTGATGAGGAGTATCCTGGAGGAGGTCAATGATTGCTCAATGTTTGGTATATTCGTTTATATTATGGTTTCTAGCACTTTGATAGACGTGTTTGATTGTTGAGACTTAGTTGGAAACTATGAAAATACAATCTTGAAGAACTGTTTGAAACAAAGGTTTCTATTCGAATGCACAATGTAATTGCTACTTTTAACATGAAAGTCTCTCATAAATTGTGTTTGTGTCAATTGTCATACATCAATAAATTATGTTTTTGTCAATCGTCGTGCATCAATAAATTATGTTCATGGTTTCATTCAATTTCAGTTTTTTGGAGTTTTTGTTGTTATAACTTAAAAATTATTGATATCATAACTATTTTTTGTTACAAATCTACTTGAAAAATGATATTATTGCTTGAGTTAATTAGGAAATGGATAAGTCTTTCTATTTGTAAAAATACGTCAATAGTTATTCTGTCTGTAGCAATCGACTCCGTAACTTTACTTAAAAGTAATTTAATTATCAAAGCTAATTGACATTATACAAAAGATAAGAGGATATATTTCACATACAGTTAAAAGTGGTATCGTCACGAGACAAATATACTTATCTAATAATAACCAAAGACAACATTACAATTCTTCAAGGAAGATTCAAATAGCTCAGATTATTGTAATGGGCAAATGTTGCTTCTCCAATGTGAGACATTCCTTGAACTTTTTAAATCTAACATAACTCACAGAAATGGTGTTGTATGTTGCGTGTTTGAGCCTTTCATAAATATGTTTTATTAAGTGTCTTGCTAGCGTACCAACCAAAATGGTCCATAAGCATAAAATAAGCCATCCAATTAAATGCGGGACCAAAACTGATGCTAGTGTAACTGAAGCAAAAGCACCTGAACTGAGAATAACACGGCTAATGATTTTAGAGCAAGTTGTAGGATGATTTTGTGGTTCCAAATTAGTAGCAAGTTCCACACAATAAACACAAATTGCTGCTAAAAATACCCACATATTGATAGGGTGTGTATCAAATGGAGATACATTTTTGCTCTGATATTCCACTTGGAGCAGCCCAAGCATCAGCGGTATCAAGAATAAGAATATCATATGATGCTGGGTAGAGGAAATTGATGGTTGCTCACCTGGAAAACTGTCAAATTAAAACAGACTGGTTAAGCTTTTAAAATTTTAAATAAAATATAAATACAACTGTAGCACATCTTATAATAGGTAGGGCACATACCTGATGGGTCCAAGCCCAACTTTGGCCCATGTGATTTTTGTTTACAAAATTTTCAAGACTCAAGCCCAACTGATGCATGATAACTAATAGGACATGTTAATATTATTTTTAGCCCCAAAGAACGGACCAGTAAAGTATATTTAACCTTCGTTAACTGATCTGATAGTAAAAGAATAAAATGCAGTTTTATGATATTCTGAATTCAAGTTCTCCTAAGTGCTAATAGGGGTGGTCGGCAGTTTTAAGGTATAAAAAGATTAGTTAAGGTACGCACAAGCTAATCCAGATACCCTAAGTGAGGAAAAAAAAAAAAGTGTATTTAACTTTTTTATCCTTCTGACTTGGAAACACACAGGGAAAATATAAGAAACAGGTTAAATAAATAGGAACACGTTAACCCATCATCAAGTTCAAGTAAGATTTAGTTAATTGACCTTTTAAACATGGATACGGAATGAATTTATTTAGCTTCAGTTGGGCTGATGGGCTCTACATAAATTGAAAAAATTAATCATAAAAAAGCAAAAGCAAAGAGAATTAGAGAAGCTTAAGCAAAAATATTAACAAATTAAATAGATTCAGACCTGCATAAAAGAACATGCAAGTAAAAGGGAATAAAAACCACGTTTTCAAGGTTAATACGTGCATAACCAATGAGTGCTTTCATGGCATGCTAGGAAAAACAAGCAAACTGTTGAAATTAAGTCGGAAAACACAGATAAGGACATAAATTTAAAAATTGCAGAGAGAATAATATTAATAGAAGCCTAGACGTCAAGCAAAATGGCAATCCTCCATCAGAGAATAAGACGCCAAACCTTGGGAAATTGTGATGAAGAGGACACGGGCAGTGTTGGAGCTTTGGTCTTACTCTCTTCTTATTCTCCCTTTTACCTACTGTGACTCTACTAACTCTGAATTTGCGTTTTGGTGGTTCAGATTTCCAAACCCCTGTAACCTCATTGTTTCCCCAAGCCGTACTCATTTATTTTAAATTCTAATGTTTGGCTATTTGATTTTGGAACAAGATACGAAACAAATGATTAGAGTATTGTGCTTTAATAGGCCCTGAAATTGTCTTTTTCCTTGGGGGTTCATCTCCATCAAGTGGGCCCCGTATGTTGGCAAATATTTCGTATTTTCATTCAAGACTTCAAGTCTCACTCTCTTGCAACCCCACAAGGACATTTTTAGAAACTTTATCACTCTTGCAACCCCACAAACCCAAAAAATTTACCGACTTTAGACCCCGCGAACCCCAAAAAGTGTACGGACGTTATACCCCACAAACCCCAAATATTTTACCAACTTTCTCACTCTCTTGCAACCCGGTCCAAATTTTTTACAAATTTCTCACTCTCTTGCAACCCCACAAACCCAAATTTTTTACGAACATTCTCACTCTCTTGCAACTTTGCAAGTTGTTAAAGTTCCTAATATTCTTTGGTGGTATAAATGTAATATTAGACATATTCAACGTGTCAATGTATATTATATGTTGACGATGAATATAATAATTTTGAGTACATTAAATGTAATATTAGACTATAATACAAGTTGTAACTCATTCTGTTTTGACTTTAAATAGCAATTACAAGATGACGCTCAAATATTTGTTCAAAACGTAAATTATAAAATAAGAAATTAAAACTACTGTAATTTTTATAACTACACCTTTATTAACTTGTAAACTCTTTATGATAATAAATTAGTTTGATTAAATCATTATAATTATAAAGATGTTTTACTGTAGTATCCAATACAGTAACGATAACTCTTTCCAATTTTGGAGATCAAATGATTGTATCTAACATGGCATTTGATTATGGTCTCTTTAGTGGAAGCAAATATATTTTTATATACCTTAGTGTAATTTCCCAAGTTTCTACGTGATGAAATTGAAAAGTTTTGTTGGGTGCTTTCATGGAACGACCGACTAACTTTCAAGCATTTCCTAAATTAATTTTCTCACGTCTTGATTCCTCACGTCATGAATCAAAAACTCTGGACTGCTTTCCAATCAGTAAAGAAGAGATGAACGGCAGATATTCAACTACAATTAGGAGGGTTATTATTTTCCAAAGGCCGAACGACTTGTGCATACCCAAGATTTACGGTAACGATAAGTTGGTACCCAAAAGGTTTTAAAACGACAAATAGGTACCTTCCGTTATGTTCTGTTAGTGATTTTTGTTTATTAATAGTGAAAAGACTAAAATGCCCTTTAAAGTTTCAATTTTAGTTTTTTATAAATTTAAAAATTTCTAAAAAAACCCCTAGGTTTGCTAATTTAATTAAACACCCCCATATATAAAAAGTTTGTTAAATGACAAAAACACCCCCACCACCCCAGTGCCAGATTCCGGCCACCATCACCGGAATCTGGCCGAAAAACTGCATTACGACACAGATCCCCGTCGGATCTGTGTCGTAACGCAACTTTCCGGCGAGATTCCGGCGGTGGTGGCCGGAATCTGGCACTGCAGGTGACGGGGGTGTTTTTGTTATTTTACAAAATTTTTATATATTGGGGTATTTAGTTAAATTTGTAAACTTAGGGGGTTTTTTAGAAATTTTTAAATTTATAAAAAACTAAAATTCAAATTTTTAAGGGCATTTTAGTCTTTTCACTATTAATAAACAGTAATAAACAGAAATCACTAACAGAACATGACGGAAAGTACTTATTTGTCATTTCAAAACTTTTTAGGTACCAACTTGTCGTTACGACAAACCTTGGATAAGTGTAAGTCGTTCTCCCTTTTCCAAAACAGAAACCTGATGTAAGATCAAATCCATCAACCATGTACTGGCGGGGCGGCGTTGAGTTGCCACCCCATTGACGAAATTTGGAATTTTGGACATTTGTGGTTCCAATATTTCCAAATTCCCATTCAGTTTTCAGATATGTTTGGAATCAGGGGAAAATAAATGCATCAATGAAAAACCAAATGTTTAACACTTATTTACTAATTAAGACCATGATGTTAACCTATTTCAAAATTCC